TTTTTTTTTTTTTTTTTTTTTTTTTTTTTTTTTTTTTTTATCCTGCCTCTTTTGGCTTTATTGTCTTGTATCCGGAAAGTGTTCATTCTCCGTCTCATGAACGTTTACCCTTAAGGGGGCGGGGGGGGGGAAAGGTTGTGTGTGTAAATGTTAAGTCTATCTGTGTGTAAGGAATATGCAAGATCTGTACAAACCGAGTCATGCATGGGGGAGGAGTGGGAGGGGTGGGAATATGGGAGTTGGAGGGAGTAGGAGAGAGTGGGAGGGAGTGGGCGAGGCTAGGAGGGAGTGGGGAGAGAGTGGGAGGGAGTGGGGGAGACTAAGAGGGAGTGGGGAGAGACTAAGAGGGAGTGAGAGAGACTAGGAGGGAGTGGGAGGGATTAGGAGGGAGTGGGAGGAACGAGGAGGGAGTGGGAGAGACTAGGAGGGAGTGGGAGGGACTAGGAGGGAGTGGGAGGAACGAGGAGGGAGTGGGAGAGACTAGGAGGGAGTGAGAGAGACTAGGAGGGAGTGGGAGGGACTAGGAGGGAGTGGGAGGGACGAGGAGGGAGTGGACTAGGAGGGAGTGGGAGGGACTAGGGGGGAGTCGAAGAGACGAGGAGGAACTAGGAGGGACTTGGAGAGTCTAGGAGGGAGTGAGAGAGACTAGGAGGGACTGGGAGGGACTAGGAGGGACTGGGAGACACTAGGAGGGAGTGGGAGAGACTAGGAGGGAGTAGGAGACTAGGAGGGACTTGGAGGGACTGGGAAGAACTGGGATGGAGTGTGAGGGACTAAGAGAAAATGGGAGGAACTGAAAGGGAGTGGGAAAGGTGAAGAAGGAGGGAAAAGGAGTGGGAAGGACTTAGAGACAGTGCAGGAAAGAAGGGAGGAATAGAAGTGTAGAATGTGTAAGAAGTGGAAGGGAGAAAGGAGGAAGGAAGAGAGGGAAGGAAGGATAAAGTGTAAAAATGGAAGATAAAGAAAGAGGAAGGAAAGAAGAAAGGATAAAGTGTAAAAATGGAAGATAAAGAAAGAGGAAGGAAAGAAGAAAGGATAAAGTGTAAAAATGGAAGATAAACAAAGAGGAAGGAAAGAAGAAAGGAGAAAGAAAAATAAAAGTAAGGGAGGGAGAGAAGTGTGTAAAAAATGGAGGAAGTGGAGGGAGGGATATATAAGGGGAAAAGAGGAGGACGAGACGAAGAAGGAGAAGGAGGAGGAGGAGAAGGAGGAGGAGGAGGAGGAGGAGGAGGAGGAGGAGGAGGAGAAGGAGAAGGAGAAGGAGAAGGAGAAGGAGAAGGAGAAGGAGAAGGAGAAGGAGAAGGAGAAGGAGAAGGAGAAGGAGAAGGAGAAGGAGAAGGAGAAGAAGAAGAAGAAGAAGAAGAAGAAGAAGAAAACAGAAGAAGAAGAAGAAGAAAACAGAAGAAGAAGAAGAAGAAAACGAAAGAGAGGAAGAAGGAGGAGAATATTTAGGAGAAGCACAGGGTGGTGGTGCATAGGCGATGCATTTTATAACAGGCATTAGCTCTTCAGGCTGATGGATGGGCTAAATACTGCACTTTTGATTAATAAGTTTGCTTAGATTCGTTTACTTTGTTGTTTGATTTAAAATGAATGAAAGTGCAGTGTGATATTTTATTTCGTATTTCTTCTCGTGTTTGTTTGGGTGGTTGTTTGTTATCTTTCTCTTTCTTTACTTTTCTTTTTCTTTTTTTTTTCTTTTTTTCTTTTTTTTCTTTACGTTGTCTTTTTCTTTGTATTTGTCTTTACTTTTCTTTTTTTTCTTTTCTTTCTCTTTTTCTTCTCTCTCTTCTCTTCTCTTCTCTTCTCTCTTTCTGTATGTATGTATATGCGTGTGTGTGTGTGTGTGTGCGTGTGCGTTCATGTGTGTTTGCGTGCGTATGCGTGTGTGTGCGTGCATGCGTATGCGTATGCGTGCGTGCATGTGTGTGTGTATGATAAAACTGTAAAATCCAATCCAAATCCAAAACTATAATTATAATTATGTAAAATGATATTGACAACCATCATAATAATGATAACCGAAAGACTCATGTTCACTAATTCGAAACTTAACATTAATAAAATGAGCATTAAAATAACAGGTAGAATGACTTGTGTTCGAGATGTTACTTGGGTGACGCTTGGCATGTGACCTTTAAGCATCCCTTGAAACTCTTCCCCTTTAGAGAGAGGGAGAGGGGAAAAAGGGAGAAAAAAGGGGGAGAGGGAGAGAGGGGAGGAGGGAGAAAGAAAGGGGAAGAAGGAGAGAGGGGAAAAGGGAGAAAAAAGGGGGAAGAAGGAGAGAGGGGAAAAGGGGGAAGAGGGAGAGAGGGGAAAAGGGAGAAAAAGAGGGAGAAAGGGGAAAAGGGAGAAAAAAAAGGGAGAGAGGGGAGAAGGGAGAAAGAAAGGGGAAGAAGGAGAGAGGGGAGAAGGGAGACAGAAAGGGTAAGAAGTAGAGAGGAAAATGGAAAAGAAAGAAAGAGGGAGAGAGGAAAATGGTAAAGAAAGATAGAGGAAGAGGGGAAAAGAAAAAAAGAAAGGGGAAGGGAAGATGGAGTGGGAGAGAGGAAAAGGGATAAAGGAAAAGGAAGAGGGAGAAGGAGAGAGGGGTAAAGAGAGAAAAAAGGAAGGAGGGGAGAGGAAGAGAGGAAAAGGGAGAGGGAGAAATAAAGTGAAAGAGAGAAAGGAAGAGGAAAAAAGCGAGGATGGAAGGGAAAGAGGGAAGAGGGAGAAGGTCGAGAGCGAAATGAAAGCGGAAAAGGAAAAAAAAAGAAGAGGGTGAGAAATAGGGAACAGTAGACGGAAAGAGAGAGTGAGTGAAAGGCAGAAGTAGAGGAAGAGGAAGAGGAAAAGAGACACGGATAAAGAGCGCGAAAGAGGGGAAGGGACAGAGAGAGTAAATGAGAGAAGGAGAAGAGGTAGAAGGGAATAGTGATAAGAGGAAAATGAAGTCTAAGAGGTCAAGAAAGCAGGAGAAAGTCGAGAAGGAGAGGAAGGGAGTAGAGGAAGACAGACAGGGGAAGGGAAGAACAAAGAGAGGAGAGGAAAAAGGAAAAAAAAAAGAAAGGGAGAGGAGAAGAGAGAGAGAGAGTGGGTAGGTAGATGAGACAGAGAAAGAGTGTGTGTGTGTGGGAGAGAGAGAGAGAGAGAGAGACAGACAGACAGACAGACAGACAGACAGACAGACAGATAATTAGTTAGTTGATATTAGCATTACAATTAATACTGTGACTGATATAGAGAAAGAGAGAGAGGGGGGATGAAGAGGCAAGGGAGGGGAAGGCCAGAGGTGAAATCTGGGAATTGTAGGAAAAGGTGAGAAAATGAAACGAATTAAAAAAAAAAAAGATGAATTTCATATTAGTAAGTCCTGGTTAAATTATTCCTTATTTTTTCCCGCGTACATTTTCTGGTACTTTCTCCGTCAGCTTTTCACTCGAAAGTATACAGTTTCCTCCCGCCGTCTTTCCCCTCCCTCACGCTGGGGTGTTTCCATGGCAACCCTCCGCGCCGCCGCTCAGAGTGCCAATGGAGGAAGGGCGCGAGCGTTTATCCCCACGAAATGTTTCAGAGGGAAGTCAGTTTTAATGGTATTTCCCTCTTGTATGTTAACTTCCTCGATAGACAATGTATCTGCAACGTGCAATTCGCAACAGCGTTTGGGCTGCGACGCCGGAACATGAGGCATAATTCGTATGGGTGGCGAGGCGGCGGGAGAGCTGATGCGGGGAGCGGGTGCAGTGGCGCGTCTGTTGTCTCGGCCGCGGCGGTGTGGTGTGCTCAGCAGCCATATTTCGCCCAACACAACCACGGCCGCCGGGGATAGTGGCGCCTCCACACTGCCTCTCCGAGCACCATAGAGCCGACACCACACGCACGCCGACATCACACTCTCGCGCCTGTTGTCGTCTGTGAGATCGGTCCTCGTGCTTGCTTGCGGGGGGGCGTCGTGGCTGGTGGCGGCGGCGTTGGTGCCGGTAGACCTCCCAGCCAGTGAGTGACACGCACACTCACTCGACTCTCCTCGCGGTCGGGAGCCGAGGCGTGAGACCGTCTTTCCCCTCGCAGACGATACGTGGACCCCTCGGATTGCATGATAAGAACTTGTACGAGAGATTGTGGATACGAGTAGCTTCGGCAGATTCGGCTGTGATTGTAAGCCTGGCGTTTGCAATGAGGATCAACGTGCAGGCGGAAGCGAAGGAAAACTCCCGATTTGTGGCCGTAAATAAGCATTAAAGGAACGTCAAGATTTCCAGTGATTTGAAGATCTTTTTTTTAAATTATTGGCTACCGTGAGGCGAGATTTTATTCTTAGGGGGAAGTGTGAGGGAAACAAATGCGTCATGTAT